AGCTCTGCAGATATCAGGGGGAAGAGCAAATCAGGGGGAGGGAATTCCAAGTGAAAAGGCCTTGAAATGGGAGCACGCCCAGCATGTTTGAAGAACAGCAAGGAGGTCAGTATATCTAGACACAGTGAGCATCACGGAGAGTAGTGTGAGGGCTGACAGGAGACCAGACACATGAAGACTTGGAAAGGAATTATGTTTCTATTTCAGCGGAGATGGGAAGTAGGGAAGGGTTTTAGCAAAGGAGTGAACAGAGCTGAGAAGCACTGAAGGATCAGTCCATCTGCTACGGCAGTCAGGAACAGGCAGGGACAGGGGAAACGCAGAAGCGGAGAACCCTTAGAGACTCCTGTGATTTGCCAAGTGGGCAATGTTGGAAGCTTTTAGGAGGATGGCTGTAGTGATGGTGATGAGGAGAGGCTGGAATTTGGGTATACTGTAAGGTAGAGCTACAAGGATTTGCTGATGGAGCAGATAAAGAGAGTGAGAGAAAGGCAGAAAGGAAGGAGGGTTCCAGTAGCTTTCCCTGAGCAACTGCAAGAAGAGAGTTGCCCTTTACTGAGATGGGGATGAGTGTGGAGAGGGCATGCACCAGACACATTCAGTTTGAGATGCCAAGTAAACACCCACATGGGCATGTCAGCTTGGCAGTAAGATGATTGAGTCTGGAATTCGGGAGAGAAGTCAGCCAGACTTCTCTATATGTGATGGCTGTCAGTGTTCAGATGATATCCCAAGCAATGGGACAAGGTGACACTGCCAAGGGCGTAAGTACAGCTAGAGAAGGGAAGAGATCTGAGGACCCAGTGAGGACTGAGCCCCAAGGTGCCCTCTGTGTAGATGATGATGAGATGAGGAGAAGTCAGGAAAGAAGTGAGAGAAATACGGCCAGTGTGGTAGGGGTAACACCAAGAGAGTGTTTCCCTGAAAACCAAGAGAAGATTGTGTTTCTAGAGGACTTTTACTCTACAAACGGTACAGTGCAGGGCCCTGTAGGGCTCTTGGGCACAGGGCCTTTGCATCCCTCATTGCTTTGATGACAGGAAACAGCCTTCTGTCAGCCTCCATGACCTTCCCTAAGTTCCAATGGACAGATTTGAGCAGCTGCTTATTAGGGAAGGGTGGGAATGAGAGATGAGAGACCAAGGAAAAACAGTCAAGAGCAGCCTTGGGGCAAGGTCCTGTTTCCCCATCAAAGGATACACACAACAGTATCTTCGAGCTATTCTGCAGATATTGAAGCCCTCTCGAGGTGGGAGAGTTAATGATTAATGACGGCATATTGCCTATAGCATGTAGACACCAGATGAGCTGGACCTGAAGGTTGATGATGTGGACTCCTACTTACCTCACCATCAACCCACGAGAAGAATGCCCGTGAGCTGATCATGCCCTTTTTGAACAATTACTACAAAACTTGTCACTGTCTTCCCCAAGTTAGGACACTTGGTTTTGAGGGCATTAGATCACTGTGTTCCCCTTTGCCTGCCAAAGCAATGAAGTGACTCTTTTCTACTTCACTCAAAACTCTGTCTTTGAGATTTGATTTGGCATCAGTGTACAGGGAAGCTGAGCTTTCAGCATCACAAACTCAGGGAATCTACAAATTCTCTTGGCCCTACCTTCAACACATATCCAAAATGTAAGCCATTACCACCACCTTCAACTCTCCAGTGCACTGCAAATTACCATCACCCCCTTCTAGACAACTTCAAAAGTTTTTAACTGGTCTCTTCTCACACAAGTGCCTATTTTCCACCCAGCAGACAGTTATTCTTTTAAAAAGTACATCAGAACACACCCATTATCTTTTTTGCTTGTGTTTTTTAACTTTTTATTTTGTACTGGGGTATAGCAGATTAACAATGCTGTGATAGTTTAAGTGAACAGGAAAGGATTCAGTGGTACATATACATGTATCCACTCACCATCAAACTCCCCTCCCATCCAGGCTGCCACATAACATTGAGCAGAGTTCCACGCGCTATATAGCAGGTCCTTGTTGGTTACCTATTTTTAATACAGCAGTGTGTACATGTCTGTATCAAACTCCCTAACTATCCCTTCCCCCCCAACTTTTCCCCTGGCAACTATAAGTTCCTTTACAAAGTCTGTGAGTCTGTTTCTGCTTTGTAAGTTCACTTGTATCATTTTAGATTCCACATAAAAGGGATGTCATATGATATTTCTCCTTCTCTGACTGATTTACTTCTCTCAGTTCAGTTCAGTCGCTCAGTTGTGTCTGACTTTTTGTGACCCCATGGACTGCAGAACGCCAAGCTTCCCTGTCCATCATGACTCTTTCTAGGTCCACAGCCTGAGGGCCCCGTGTTGATCATTTGATTTGACAATGGAGAGTTCTTTATCCACTGACATCTTGGAGCTGGCAGTTTGGGTGGATGCATGGGGGTGAAAGCTTATTCCAGTGGAGTCAAAATACAAGAGATGGGCCCAAAACCATTTGTGAAGGTGTTCAACCTCTTTAGTATTCAGAGAAAGGCAGATTATCTAGCTGCAGAGAGATATCACTATACACTCACAAGACTGATTACAGAAGAAGGAAAATTCCAAGTATTACTGTAGAACAGTGGAAACTCTGATCAACTGCTTTACAAATGTAAACTGGCATGCCATTTTGAAAGAGCATATACTGAATACCCTGACATCTGCATCCTCTTACTAAATAATGGACACAGAAGCACACTTCACAGTATTCCAAAAGAACTCCATGCTGTATTCACAGATAATACAATGGACATTAAATTGTGACAGATCCACACAGAGAAAGACAGGAGTAGAGCAACGGAAAGGAATGAACCACAGTGGCACACAAAAGCACTAAGTAAACTTAAACACTACTGTGGAACTAAAGAGGCTTTACATTAACACTGCATTCATCTGGCTTCATATGAAGAGAAGAGGGAAAATGGGAAGCACTTCCCAAAGGTCAAAATAAGGGTCTACAGAAGCCCCCTCCTCCATAAAAGCAGTGGTAACACTGGCAAAAACAGTCAAAATCAACTTTTTTGCAAGTGTGGAAACTGTCTAAGTCATAGAACAACAAAACAGCTGAATCTTGGTGAGAGCAGCAAGGTGTGTGAACTTTTAACTACCCTACTCCCATAGCCTTCTCCTCAGGTCCCCACGAGTCATCTCAAGTACAACTCAACTGCATCACCTCAACTACAATGGCTGTGAAAACAGGCAGCCTGGTAGAATGGACAGAACAGTTTGGAGCTCCCTCAAAAGCCTACCCATAGCATCACTACTAAGTTGCGTGTCTGGCAGGTCCCTGGAGAATCCCCATTCAGGAAACTTGTATTCCTATAAACCTCATAGGAGAAAGCATAAGGCAAAAGTTTCACAGCACTGGATTTGGCAAAGGTTTCTCAGCTATGGCACCAAAAGCACAGGCAACTGAAGAAAAACAGACAAAATGGACTTTAGGAAAATATTTAAATTTTGTGTATCCAAAATTACTATATATTCACAGAGGGAAAAGGCCACCCACAGAATGAGAGAAGACGGTTGCGAATCATATTATCTGATAAGGAACTACTATCCAAAATAGATAGCGAAAGCTCCTAAAACTCAACAACAAAAAACCAAACAGCCTGATTCAAAACATGGGCAAAGGACTCAAATGGAAATTTCTCCAAAGAAGATACACAAATGACTTTTTGCATATGAAAAGATGCTCAATGTCCCTCATCCTCAGGGAAATGTCAATCTAAACTACAGTGAGATACCACCTCATATCCGTTAGCATGACCACTACAAAAACAGAAGAAAGCAGAGAAGAACAAGTGTTGGAGAGGAGGTGGAGAACATGGGAACACCTGTGCCCTGTCGGTGGGGAGGTCAAATGCTGTGACTGCCGTGGAAGGGTACGGCAGCTCCTGAAAGATGTTAAAACTAGAGTGACCATGTGATCCAGCAAGTTCACTTCTAGGTACAAGCCCAGAAGAATGGAAAGCAGGATCCCAAAGAGAGATTTATATGTCCATACATGTAATGTTCAAAGCAGCATTATTCACAACAGCTAAAAGGTGGAAGCAACCTGAGTGCCCATGGAGGGGTGACTGTAGAAGCAAAAGGTGGGCTATACATACAATGGAATATTATTCCATAAAAAAGAGAGGAAATTCTGCAAACTGCCACAACATGGATGGATCTTGAGGACATTATGTTAAGTCAAATAAGCTGGTTTACAAAAAGATAAACACTGTATGATCCCACTTAAATGATCTACTTGAGTAGTAAAATCATACAGAGAGAAAGTAGGATAGTAGTTGCTAGGGGCTGAGGGAGAGCAGACAATGGGGATTTTTATACTTAATGAGTATAGGCTTTCATTTTTACACAATAAAGAGTCCTGGAGATGGACAGTGATAATGGTAGCACAACAGTTAACAGTACTTAATACCATTGAAGTGTATACTTAAAAATGATTAAGATGATATATTTTATGTTCTGAATGTTTTAACAGAGTAAAAAAATCAGAGGGAAAGGTGAAATAATTTTCTACTCTAAGAGATAACCATTGAGAAAATGAAAAAGCTCACAGAATGGGACAAAATATTTACAACTTATATACCTGATGGGAGACTAACCCCAAGAAATATTAAGAACTCTTATAACTCAAAAAGAAAGACCCTGTTTAAAAAAGGCAAATGATGTGAATAGACACTTATCCAATGAATATATAAGTGAGTAATAAGAGTATGAAAAACTGTGCAACAGCACTAATTATTAAGGAACTGCAAATCACAACTGTAATAAGATACCCCCTTACCTCCACTAGGATCACTGCAATCAAAAAGGCAAATAACAAATTCCAGTGATGACGTGGAAAAACAGGTGAAATAAGCCAGTCACAGAAGACTACAACTACAATACAGGACTCCATTGCTATGGACTATCCAGAAGAGACAAAAATCATAGAGACAGGAAAGGGAGCAGTGGAAACCAGGGCTGGAGGGAGCTGAGAATGGAGCGTGACGATGAATGAACAGGTGAGTTGGGCATGAGGAAAATGTTCTAAAACTGCTTGGAACGACGACTGCATAACTTTCTGAACACACTACACACACCACTCAAAAGTACACTTTGAAGGATGAGTGTTCTGGTATATGACTTTCTATCTCAATAAAGCTGTTATTAAAAGACAACTAAACTAAAATAACATAATTTTGGGAAGCACACATTTAGAAAGCAAAAACAATCAAGAAGGTGAAGAAATAGTTACCATAAAGACAAGATAATGATCTCACTGAAGCATGAGGGCATGTGATTGGCAATGGCACATAGATGACTTCTATGAAGCTAAAACTTAGATTACCTCACAAGAGTTGTACTTACATAGCTATTTCTCTCTCCCCTTCTCCCTCCTTTCCTGTTTATCTTTTTCAGTAAAATACACACAACATTAAACAACCATCTTAACCATTTTTAAGTGTACAGTTCATTGGCATTAAGTTCATTCATACAGTTGTGCAACCATTATCAATATCCACTTCCAGAAATTTTCATCATCCCAAACTGAAAGTCTGCGCCCATCATACAAGAACTCCCCATTCTGCTATTACCCCACCCCAGGTAACATCTATTCTGCATGTCTCTAAGAACTTGCATATTTGTGGAATCTCATATATGTGAGATCACATGATATTTGTCCTTTTGTGTCTGGCTTAATTGTTTTCATTCTACTAATTCACTGAAAAGCACATTTATGTTTTATGCATACTATGTGACTGTGTTAGGAGTCAAAATAAAAAACTTAAGAAAATAAAGGAGTGATACAAATTAGAACAGAATGTCTGTACACTCTTTCAAAGAATTTCATTGTAAAACAAAGAAAAGGATAATAAACTAGATGGTGACTGGAAGGTGATATGGGCTGAGAGGGATGGTTTTATAAAGATGAGAAAATTACAGCAAATAATAAGACTGAATCCAGCAGACAAACACATGCTGAAGATGTAAAAGAGAGAAGGGAGAAATGCAAGAGTGTAGTTCATGAGAAATTAAAAGGGAAAGACACTCCACACACAAGTAAAAGGATTGGTCTTAGACTGGAGCAAGGACAATTTATTCACGACAGTGGGGGGAACATTCAGATACAGCTAGTGGAGTCAGCTAGTGTCTATATGAGGAAGTAGTCTTTTTTTTTTTTTTAAAAACAAGAGCTTAGTTTTTTATTTCATAAAAATATGGAACGCTTCACGAATTTGCGTGTCATCCTTGCGCAGGGGCCATGCTAATCTTCTCTGTATCGTTCCAATTTTAGTATATGTGCTGCCAAAGCGAGCACGGAGGTTCTATTAATTGCTTGATTAATTGATTAATTGATCTATTGATTGCTTCTATTAATATTTTTCTCAGTGAAATATGGAGAAGAAATTAGGAGAGTGAACTGAACAGCAAAATGTAGAAAGAAGTACATTTTGAGATCATGTCTGTGCCAGCATGGTTTTCGTGGGTTTTTCTGAAGACATTTACAGATATTCAGGGCAGGCACGAAGCCAAGTAGAAACACAGAAGGTATAGCAAATAAGACACCGCAGCAACCATACCTGGAAGCTGTTTATTCATTCAATGATTCTTGTTCGTCTACTCTTCAACAAGCACTCTTCTAGAACTGGGAGAGTGTATAAGGAGGAACAAACAGAAGTGGCCACCGAACACACAGAAGTCATATACAAACACAGGGGAGACTTCAGGAATCCTAGTCTTCAACAGGCATGGTCTTAAGATGCTGCTATGCCAGGACCAGCCCAGGTAACAGGTCTGGAGATACTTACCAACCAAGGTTCCGATAACTGCACACAGGGGAGACTGCTCTGTTGGCATCTCCCATACACACTTTTAGTGTTATAAATACACACCGTGTTATAAACAGAACTTGATAAACTGAATTCTGATGATGTTTTTAAAAAGCAGGGAATGTCACTTGTCCCACGGGTGACCAGCACACTGGGGTTTATCAATCTGGGGGCACAAGGCAGGTACCACACTGGCTTTATCTGACAGATTGGTCTGTTGTGCATTGCATCTATAATGCCATGTTACATCTAGTTACAATGTCCATGTGATACAGAACAAGAGTTTTAGAAGAGAGGAAATGGGCAATGGAGTGTGCCCACTGAAGACCTCCAAGCCTCCTGGTCTAGAACATTAGGAGGCAGCTGAGCAACGGACGATAGGAGGAGTGGGGGAGGGGTGATCCTTGCGGTACAGTTGAGGAAGGCATGGAGGTTTTGTTTCCTTTCTCAAGGTACAGTCTTTCACTTTAGAGTTTGCAGTCCCACTGCATGATTACAGCTCTTCCTAATGTCAGGAAGACCTTAACTACTAGAGTTGAGGGTGTGGAGGAAAGTCACAGAGAAAAGACACTATCTGAAGCATAACAGAGAGATCCGAAAGACCAGAAAGGACACAGCCAGAGGCTGACCTCTGAGAGGCAGGCAAGAGCCACCCTTTGTGCAGCCAGCACAGAGCTGAAGTGAGTACCTGTGACAGACAGTGTGTGTGTCAGGGAGAGCAGCTGCTGCCGCTGGACACAAGCCCTGCATCATCAACGGACTCACCAGGGCCACGCCAGCGGCAGCATCTGGGAGAGACTCTGCCTCTATACCGCCTTCTCTACCGAAAAGGCAAGTGGCTATGTCTGAGGCTATCCGAGTGCTTCAAACTTGGGCTCCTCAGATGAAGGGCTTGAGGCTGGCCCTGGTGCCAGGACTTTCATGTGCCAGGTTGGGGATCCTGTTGTTCTTGGTACTGATTTCTCTGCCAAGCCTGTACTGTGACCTGGGCTCACTATATCACTCTTCCTATGAAATAGTCATTCCCAAGAGTCTGACAGTGGAAGGAAGGGAAGACCAAGTGGAAAAGCTCTCCTATATGCTATTTATGCAGGGCCAGAGGCAGCTGATTCACCTGACGGTGAAGAGAGACTATTTTGTGGATAACTTCCCGGTCTTCAGCTATCACAATGGCATCCTGGGGCAAGAAATGCCTCTCATCTCGCAGGACTGTCACTATGAAGGCTACATAGAAGGAGTCCCAGGTTCTTTTGTTTCTGTCAACACCTGTTCAGGCCTCAGGGGCCTCCTGATTAAGGAGGAAAAGTCCTATGGCGTTGAGCCCGTGCACTCTTCCAAACGGTTTGAGCACGTGTTGTACGCCATGGGCCACGAAGCTCAAGTCTCCTGCAGCGTCACGTCCAAGGACAGCCAAGTGGCGTCCACCAGCCGGCAACCACAGAGCGCCAAGCCTCACAGCTGGCACGTGACATCCGACCTGTGGTCACGTACCAAGTACGTGGAGATGTTTGTCGTGGTCAACAACCAGCGGTTCCAAATGTGGGGCGGTGACGTCAATCAGACAGTCCAGAGAGTGATGGACATCATAGCTCTGGCCAACAGCTTCACAAGGGGAATAAACACAGAGGTGGTGCTGGCTGGAGTGGAGATTTGGACTGAGGGGGACCTCACAGAGGTCCCCGTGGACCTGCAAGTTGCACTCAGGAATTTCAACAGCTGGAGACAAGAGAAGCTCTTCCACCGTGTGAAGCATGATGTTGCCCACATGATCGTGGGACAGCATCCTAAAGAGGATATGGGGCAGGCATTTCTCAGTGGTGCCTGCTCAAGTGATTTTGCAGCAGCCGTGGAATCCTTCCACCACGAGGATGTCCTCCTGTTTGCAGCACTCATGGTCCACGAGCTTGGACACAACTTGGGTATTCGGCACGACCATTTGGCCTGCATTTGTAAAGATAGGCCCTTCTGCCTCATGCGTGAAAACATCACTAAAGAAAGTGGCTTCAGCAACTGCAGCTCTGACTTCTTCCACCAGTTCCTCTGGGAACACAAGGGGGCCTGCCTGTTTAACAGGCCTGGGCACAAAGGCCGCTTACGGAGGGCTTCGCGCTGTGGCGATGGCATTGTAGATGGAGATGAGCAGTGTGACTGTGGTAATGCATGTGACTTGGACATATGTTGTGACACATCATGTAAACTGAAGCCGACTGCATTGTGTAATCCTGGACCCTGCTGTAATGCTACATGCCAATATGAACAAACTGGACGCAGTTGCCGTCCTGCTTCAGGAGAATGTGACCTTCCAGAATTTTGTCTTGGTACCTCTGGGGTGTGTCCCCCAGACACCTACAAGCTCGATGGTTCACTGTGTAAGGGTGGTTACTACTGTGTTCAGGGTATATGCAGGTCTGCTGATGCTCAGTGTTCTGAAATGTATGGGTTTCCTGCAAGAGCTGCTTCAGAAGACTGTTTTCGGTCATTTAATGGAAAAGGGAACAGATTTGGAAACTGTGGTATTCCCAGTGCTGGTGGCTCAGCATATACTAGGTGTGAAAATGAGAATATATTTTGTGGGAAAATGATATGTACAAATGTTCAAACGCTACCAGAGACTGAAGTCAATTATACATTACTTCAGACCCCTTATGCAGATGACTATTGCTGGTCCATGGATCTGCATGGTGTTCAGGATGTCCCTGATTCTGGAGATACAAGGAAGGGCAGTCTTTGTGGCTCAGGGAAAGTCTGCATGAACTTCACCTGCTCAGATGTCAGTGTTCTTGGGTACGACTGTGATATAAAGGTAAAGTGTAACGAGAAAGGAGTTTGCAACAATAAAAAGAACTGCCATTGTGATGATGGTTTTTCCCCTCCTGACTGCAAAAACCCAGGAACTGGTGGTAGTGTGGACAGTGGCATCCCTAGTTCGGTTAATAGTGGAACGGAGTCTGGAGGTGGAGGAAATGCTACCGCTCCCTCAGCCACTAGTTCTATCGCAGGCACGTTAACCTCATTAATTGCATTATTTTTGATCTTATTATTACTACTTATAATTCTTTGTGTCTGCATGTGTCGTAAAAGGGACAAAGAAGAAGCTGCTGAACCAAAAGAGGAACCAGCTGTCCCAGCAGTGGCTCCCGCGGCAGCGGCTGCCGCGGCAGCAGCTCCCGCAGCAGCAGCTGTCCCGGAAGAGGCACCTCCAGAAGGGGAGGCCGAGGAGGAAGTGGAGGAAGAGGAGGAAGAGGAGGAAGAGGAGGAAGAGGAAGAATCAGAGCCATAAGACAAGCAATGGGAGAAAGAAGCCTAATACATCAAGCGCCTCAAGCACTGAGTGGGAACGACAGGCTCACTGAAGCAAAGGTGAAGCGGGAATTGATAACTCCAGTGGCTCTGACTATGATTATATACTCTATAGAAATATACTACTGTAGGAGGAGGGATTCTGTCACTTTTGTCACTCACTTTAGTCATTAAGTTTTTATGGTTTTAATTATACATTAAATAACTTACAGCTTTTCCACATTTAAATTTGAACTCTTCACATGCGTCTATTGACATCAACATCCTTGTCTTGGGCTAATTTTTCCAGGTACCAGAATCTTTTTCAGGAAATTCCATCTTTCATCTAAGTTGTTTAACGTATACCACTATTTGTACCTGCATTTGTACCTGCACTTGGATTTTCAAGCAATAGCTACCTACTATATAAGAACAACTGTTTATGTGACTCATTGTTCTAATATGGCCTTTTATAAATGTGCATTCAAGAAATGAGTTTTTTAAAGCGAAAAATAAAACCCTATTCAGATTAGATATCTCTTCAGATTTAATGTGGTATAATTATTAAGTCTATTTTCTTCTGGGACTCTGTGGGGTGGACTATATCCAGTAAGTCAGAAGACCCTAATTGTCCCAGGGTCAAGGGGCTAGTGTTTCAGTCATTTAACTTTTCAATTCTGGCAGATGGTGAGTGTGCTGAGTCGTGTCCAACTCTTTGTGACCTCATGCACTGTAACCCACCATGCCCCTCTATCCATGGAATTCTCTAGGCAAGAATACTGGAGTAGGTTGCCATTTCCTACTCCAGGGGATCTTCCCCACCCAGGAATCAAATCCAAGTCTCCTCTGTCTCCTGCATTGGCAGGTGGATTCTTTACCACTGCACCACCAGGAAAGATGTTTTAACATTGATATATTACATATTCAACTCATTATTTCCCAGGATCTCCAGGTCCTTTCTATAGACATACTCCCCTTCTTTTGTTGTTTCCATTTTTTATTCCTTTTCTTTAACTCTTTATTACAAGGATCATTCTTATAGAAGTATATGTGGACTTAAAGTGAAAAAATCAAATGTATCCAAGAATAAAAAACACAGTTTCTTTTTCCATCCAGTTTTTATTCTTTTTTAGTTTTTTAAATTTTTTGACTGTACTTAGCAGCATACAGGATTTTAGTTCCCTGACCACTGACTGAATGCTTGAACCCATGTCCCTTGCATTTGAAGTACCAATTCTTAGTCACTGAATCACCAGGGAAGTCCCTAGCCATACTCCCTTTTTAACAAAAATATTTCTTTTTCTCCTTGCTATTGTTCAGTCAGTCAGCCATGTCTGACTCTTTATGACCCCATAGGCTGCAGCACGCCAGGCTTCCCTGTCCTTCACCATCTCCTGGAGTTAGCTCAAACTCATGTCCACTGAGTTGGTGATGCCATCCAACCATCTCATCCTCTGTTATCCCCTTCTCCTGCCTTCAATCTTTCCCAGCATCAGGGTGTTTTCCAATGAGTCAGTTCTAAACATCAAGTGGCCAAAGCACTGGAACTTCAGCTTCAGCATCAGTTCTTGCAGTGAATATTCAGGGTTGATTTCCTTTAGGATTGAGTGGTTTGATTTCCTTGCATTCCAAGGGACTCTGAAGAGCCTTCTCCAACACCACAGTTCAGTTCTTCAGCGCTCAGCCTTTTTTATTGTCCAGCTCTCACATCTGTACATGACTACTGGAAAACCCACAGCTTTGACTGTGTGGACCTTTGAAGGCAAAGTAATGTCTCTGCTTTTTAATATGCTGTCTAGGTTTGTCACTGCTTTCCTTCCAAGGAGCCAGTGTCTTTTAATTTCATGACTGCAGTCACCATCTGCAGTGATTTTGGAGCCCAAGAAAATAAAGTTTGTCACTGTTTCCATTGTTCCCCCATCTATTTGCCATGAAGTGATGGAACTGGATGTATGATCTTTTTCTGATTTTCATTTTTTTTTTAATGTTGAGTTTCAAGCCAGCTTTTCACTCTCTTCTTTCACCTTCAAGAGGCTCTTTAATTCCTCTTCACTTTCTGCCATAAGGGTGGTGTCATCTGCATATCTGAGGTTATTGATATATTTCCTGGCAATCTTGATTTCAGCTTGTGTTTCTACGAGCTCAGCATTTCATGTGATGTACTCTGCATATAAGTTAAACAAGCAGGGTGACAATACACAGCCCTGACATACTCCTTTTCCAATTTTGAACCAGTTCATTATCCCACGTCTGGTTCTAACTGTTGCTACTTGACCTGCATACAGGTTTCACAGGAGGCTGGTAAGGTGGTCTAGTATTCCCATCTCTTTAAGAATTTTTCACTCTTTGTTGTGATCTACCCGGTCAAAGGCTTTAGCATAGTCAATGACGCAGAAGTAGATTCTGTTTTGGAATTCTCTAGCTTTTTCTACACTCCAACAGATGTTGGCAATTTGATCTCTGGTTCCTCTGCCTTTTCTAAATCCAGTTTGTACACCTGGAAGCTCTTGGTTCACACTCTGTTGAAGCCTAGCTTGAAGGATTTTGAGCATTACTTTACTAGCATGTGAAATGAGTGCATTTGTGTGGTAGTTTGAACATTCTTTGACATCACCTTTCTTTGGGATTGGAATGAAAACTGACCTTTTCCAGTTCTGCGGCCACTGCTGAGTTTACCAAATTTGCTGGCATATTGAGGGCAGCACTTTCACAGCATCATCTTTTAGGGTCTGAAGTGGCCCAGCTGGAATTCCATTACCTCCACTGGCTTTGTTCGTCGTGATGCTTCCTAAGGCCCACTTGACTTCACACTCCAGGATGTCTGGCTCTAGGTGAGTGATCACACTATCGAGGTCATCTGGGATATTAAGACCTCTTTTTGTATAGTTCTTCTGTGTATTCTTGACACCACTTCTTAATATCTTCTGCTTCTGTTAGATCCATAATGTTTCTGTCCTTTATTGTGCCCATCTTGCATGAAATGTTCCCTTGGTATCTCTAATTTTCTTCAAGAGAGCTCTAGTCTTTCCCATTCTATTGTTTTCCTCTATTTCTTTGCATTGATCACTGAGGAAAGCTTTCTTATCTATCCTTGCTGTTCTCTGGAACTCTGCATTCAGATGGGTATACCTTTCCTTTTCTCCTTTGCCTTTAGCTTCTCTTCTTTTCTCAGCTATTTGTAAGGCCTCCTCAGACAACCATTTTGCCTTTTTGCATTTCTTTTTCTTGGGGATGGTCTTGATCACTGCCTCCTGTACAATGTCATGAAGCTCCATCCATAGTTCTTCAGGTACTCTATCAGATCTAATCCGTTGAATCTATTTGTCACTTCCACTGTATAGTTGTAAGGGATTTGATTTAGGTCATACCTGAATGGTCTAGTGGTTTTCCCTACATTCTTCAATTTAAGCCTGATTTTCTCAATAAGGAGTTTATGATCTGAGCCACAGTCAGCTCCCGGTCTTGTTTTTGCAGACTGTATAGAGCTTCTCCATCATTGGCTGCAAAGAATATAATCAATCTAATTGCAATATTGACCATCTGGTGATGCCCATGTGCAGTCATCTCTTGTGTTGCTGGAAGCGGGTATTTGCTATGACCAACACGTTCTCTTGGCAAAACTGTTAGCTTTTGTCCTGCTTCATTTTGTACTCCAAGGCCAAACTTAACTGTTACTCCAGGTATCTCCTGACTTCCTACTTTTGCATTCCATTTCCCTATGATGAAAAGGACATCTTTTTTTGGTGTTAGTTCTTGAAGGTCTTGTAGGTCTTCATAGAACAATTTAACTTCCGCTTCTTTGGCATAGTGGTTGGGGCATAGACTTGGATTACTGTGATACTGAATGGTTTGTCTTGGAAATGAACTGAGATTATTCTGTTGTTTTTGAGATTGCACTCAAGGACTGCATCTCAGACTGTTTTGTTGACTATGAGGGCTACTCCATTCTTCTAAGGGATTCTTGTCCAAGTAGTTGATATAATGGTCATCTGAATTAAATTTGCCCATCTCTGTCCATTTTAGTTCACAGATTCCTAAAATGTCGATCTTCACTCTTGCCATCTCCTGTTTGACCACTTCCAATTTACCTTGATTCATGGACCTAACATTCCAGGTTCCTATGCAACACTGTTCTTTACAGCATCAGACTTTACTTTCACCACCAGACACATCCACTACTGGGCACTGTTTCCACTTTGCCTCAGGCTCTTCATTCCTTTTGGAGCTATTTCTTTGCTCTTCTCCAGTAAGCGTATTGGATACCTACCGACCTGGGGGGCTCATCTTTCAGTGTCATATTTTTTTGCCTTTTTGTACTGTTAATGGGGTTCTCAAGGCAAGAATGCTGAAGTGGTTTCCATTCCTTTCTCAAATGTATCAGATTTTGTCAGTACTCTCCACCATGACCTCTCCATCTTGGGTGGCCCTTTTCCCCCTGTATTGTGCTGTGCTTAGTCGCTCAGTCATGTCCATCTTTTTGTGACCCCGTAGACTGTAGCCTGCCAGGCTCCTCTGTCTATGGGGATTGTCCAGGCAAGAATACTCATGTGGGTTAACATGCCCTCCTCCAGGGGATCTTCCCAACCCAGGGATCGAACCCATGTTTCCCACATTGCAGTGGATTCTTACCATCTGAGCCACCATGGAAGCCCAAGAAGACGAGTGGGTGGCATATCCATTCTCCAGGGGATCTTCCCAACCCAGGAATCAAACTAGAGTCTCCTGAATTGCAGGCGGATTCTTTACCAGCAGAGCTACCAGGAAAGCCCCCCTTTTCTCCTAGAGAATGTTTAATTCCCTTCTTTTTTTTTTTAATTCCCTTCTTACTAATATTCCTTGGATGAATTTCATACCCTCAGATGTGTCATGTCTGATGAACATCATCTAGTTATAAAACTGCATTTATACTTATTTTATGTAGTACAGAGGCCTCTACCACAGTGCTGAGTACACGTATTAAACTAAAATTTTATCTTTTCTATTTTTCCTTTTTTCTGTATTGAAACAACTTGTTGGCTGACATCATAATGAATCTCTCCAATTACAAGTAATAGCTTTAGATCTAGTGAAGAAAGCACAAA